ACAAATAACAACTAATACCTTAAGTTTTAGTTGATGATTTGCTATCAGAGGTGGCTACATGAGAGGCAAATGCCTCTGGATTCAATTATTTTACCTAAATAAAATATGACCATGCCTTAATTTTTTTATGATTTAATTAAGACAGTAAGGTCTGACGTTGCTTAGAAAAAAGTCTTGTCACTTAACAAAAATAATGTACAGTATAGAATATAAAGTCATGGTGTAGTGAAAAAATAGTTTATGTTGCATATGACTCTCTATATAAAACACTTATTAATAAAGTCATCTGGGATGGCAAAGAAAGCGTTTGTACAGGACTTTCAGAGTTCGTCAAGATTCTTTAGTTTCATCTTCAATGCCTCCTCCATCTTACCCCAGACATGCTCAATAATGTTCAGATTTTGTTACTGGGCTGGCCAATACTAAAGCACCTTGACCTTCTTTGCTTTCACGAACTTTAATGTGGAGGCTGAAGTATAGGAGCGCTATCCTGATTAACAACTTACCCAATCCTGTGGTTTGTAATGTAATAGGCATCACAAATGTTTTGATACCTCAGGCTGTTGATGTTGCCTTCCACTCTGCAGATCTATCACACACCCCCATACTGAATGAAACCCCAAACCATGTTTTTTCTTATACCAAACTTGACTGATTTCTCTGGGAACCTTGGGTCCATGCGGGTTCCAATAGGTCAGGGGTCACCAAACTTGTTCCGGAAGGGCCGCTGTCCTGCAGATTTTAGCTCCAACCCTAATCAAATACACCTGAACAAGCTAATCAAGGTCTTACTAGATATACTTGAAACATCCAGGCAGGTGTGTTGAGTCAAGTTGGAGCTAAACCCTGCAGGGACACTGGCCCTCCAGGACCGAGATTGGTGACCCCTGCAATAGGTCCTCTTTAGTATTTCTGATGATTAGATGCAGTTCAACGGATGTTTTATAAGAAAAAAAATTCACCTTCTGCTACTTTTCCAAATGTTCAACTAGAGTTATTATAGGTCAAGTTATTATTTGTTGCTTTCACAACTGGCATTAACAACAAGGCTTTTGTCGGGTAATGTGTATACAAATTATATATACAGTATATATAGTATTTAAAATCCTAATAACAATAGTTCTACTAACACCTTGTCTGACATATTTCCATATGACATTTAGAGACTAATAACATATTAAGAGATTAATACGTTTTTAATGAAATATTAAAAGACTGGATTTAGGGATGACAATGGAGACAATCCACATTCAACGTTATCCTACCCTTATTATGCAAAAGTGATTTGAAACGTAGAGCTTTACATGCATTTAATGTGTTTTTTTTATAAATATGTTTGTATAGGTTTATTCTAATGTGGACACCAACCCTGAACTTCTCGCCTTTCACCCTATTATTATAGTAAGCATGCATAAGAAAACAGTCAGATAAAATTGAGGTTTGAGTAGAAACGTTTTACATAACTTTTGTTTTGAATCTGCATTAGCCCCAATGAATGGTTTCAAAATAATAAAGGAAAAGTAAACAACAAACAACATTTTAATATTGTATTATCATTGACTAATTATTCTTGTAGTCCAGCAAGATTTATGTATTTACCTTTAATAGGAAAAACAGCTTTCATACATCTAGATTGCGCAAATGTGTACTAATCAAACGCAAATACACACACACACAATTGTATATGTGGTTTATGAGGACTCTCCATTGGCGTAAAGTATGGTAAACTGTAAAAACAGCTTATTTTATAGCATTACCTCTAAATCCAACTCTCACATGAATCCTGTGGCAAATTCTGAATGTCAAAAGACCTTGTTAAATAAGATTTTTAAGGGTTTGGAATTATGAGGACACTAGACAGGTTCTCATAAATCCCCTTAAAGTAACACCAAGGTCATACCCATGTTATTATACAATATGTCTTTGTGAACCACAAACACGCACACAAACATACATCTCTTCAGATTATCTACTTGATAGACACAGGAACTAGCAGGATCACATGCTGTAGAATAAAAATAAATACCGACAATATCTAGACTTCAGATTTATGCGTGATATAAGATAAGCTGTTCTTTATCGGTGGAAAGTGATGAGCTGGAATGAAGTCTAGAGGTTCTTTCAAATCATCAACAAGTGGTTTACTTGAAAAAGACAGCTTCCTCATACGAATAAAATCTGAAGTGAATTGTGAGAGTCGTGAGGTAATCATTTTCAGCAAATGCTAGCTTGAATAAGGCCTGAGCAGATGATTCTGTAAAAAAATGAATAAAATAAAACAAAAGATGAAACAACAGTAGAAGTCAGAATTATTAGCCCCCCTTTGAATTTTTTTTTCTTTTTCAAATATTTTCCAAATTATGTTTAACAGAGCAAGGACATTTTCAGAATATGTCTGATATTATTTTTTCTTCTGGAGAACGTCTGATTTGTTTTATTTAGGCTAGAATAACAGCAGTTTTCATTTTTTTAAAAACCATTTTAAGGTCAAAATAATTAGCACTTTAAGCTATATAACTTTTCGATAGGCTACAGAACAAACCATCGTTAAACAAAGACTTCAAATATTTTCCAAATTATGTTTAACAGAGCAAGGACATTTTCAGAATATGTCTGATATTATTTTTTCTTCTGGAGAACGTCTGATTTGTTTTATTTAGGCTAGAATAACAGCAGTTTTCATTTTTTTAAAAAACATTTTAAGGTCAAAATAATTAGCACTTTAAGCTATATAACTTTTCGATAGGCTACAGAACAAACCATCGTTAAACAAAGACTTGCCTAATTACCCTAACCTGCCTAGTTAACCTAATTAACCTAGTTAAGCCTTTAAATGACACTTTAAGCTGTATAAAAGTGTCTTGAAAAATATCTAGTCAAAAATTATTCACTGTCATCATGGTTATAAGAAATCAAGTTATAAGAAATGAGTTTTAAAACTATTATGATTAGAAATGTGCTGAAAAAATCTTCTCTCCGTTAAACAGAAATTGGGAGAAAAAATAAACAGGGGGGGGCGAATAATTCTGACTTCAACTGTATATGATGAAAAAAAAAGTTTCAATATTATAAAAGCTGTCACACTTTACATTTAGGTTCACTTTGCGCACATTAATTTATGCATTAAGCATTATATGTTCATACTGAATAAATATTACAGCATTATGTAATATATTGATAGCTATGAATATGATATTGCTCATTGTCAATCATGCAATAGTTCACGTTAAAATACATATTTGATACTTAGTTATATTACAGCATTAGTTTTTCAAAACTAATAACGAACTATTAATCTTGCAGCATTTAGTATTATTAATTTTTTGATTGTAAATAATTATGCAATGGTATGCTATATATATATATATATATATATATATATATATATATATATATATATATATATATATATATATCAGAGGTCGCGTTAACCGAAGGTTAACTGAAGGTGATCTGTCATTTTAATGGATTATGTTGAGGGTGATCTATTGTAATTTGTAGCTAACTGTAATTCCCACTCTTGTCCAGCTGATGGCGAATGCCCTTGTTTTGTCTCCTCTTTGTCACCGCTGCGTACAGTTGCAAAAATGTCACAGCAGCTGAGTGTGAAAAGTTTCTTTAAACGGCCAAATAGTTGTGATATTAATAATAAAGGTAAAAAAAGAGGAAGTGATGCAGTGGACGATGAAGAACAAACAGACAAAAATCCTCAGTCGCCGACAGCTGTTACGAGCCAACCAAGCAGCAGCAAGCAGGTCAGGTGCTTTTGAGTGCGTTGTGAGCACTACCGAATGCAGAGGGGTGCAGAAGGAGCCCATGCTGTAGTTTTTTTTTTTTCCCGGTGAAACGAGTGCTTGCAGGATCGGGAAATCCCACATTAAGAGAATCCAGCAAACTTAGTTCTGATCACAGCCTTAGAAGAAATGCTTCCAAACTACAAAGCGCTGGCTGAAGTGGCGCTAGTAATTCCGGTCTTTGGTCAGGAGAAGTCGACTTTCCGAGGCAAAGACACAGAATTTAATGACAACTGCCTCTGCATCAGTCTCCCTTGATGAGTTTGATTATGCACAGGCAAGCACCCAGTTCAGATCGACGCAGAAAAAGATAGTAGTTAAAGGAAGATAGGAGTTGTTGTTTATTTGTCAAATATATAAATGATTAGTTTAGCCTATATGCTTGCCGTGCAAGATCATTATTAAAATATGAATGAAAAAAGCGATTAGAAAATATGCAAATTAAATAACGATTAATAATAGATTATGATGGAATTTTTACAACCCTCTTCCAATGAGAAAGTCTAATGCGACCTCTGATATATATATATATATATGTGTGTGTGTGTGTGTGTGTGTGTGTGTGTGTGTGTGTGTGTGTGTGTGTGTATATATATATATATAATTATAATTTAGAATTATATATGTTATGTATATGTATTTTCCAGAAAGTAATCCATTATTATATAAGTATTAAAAAATAAAATACTTTTAAATCCATGTTAGAAAACTAAAAGCTATACATTAGTCTACCATGCTTGATGCATTAACGATTATAGCATTACACATTCTAAATCGTTTAATATTAAATCACAATGAACAATAGCATATTTATGAATAAACATTTCTATTGGTGTAATACGAAATATTTACTGTTAATTTTCTAAATAAAATGCATAAACTAATGATCAAAGTCGGATCTTACTGTAACTAAATATCAGAACTACCATTTTTGAGTCACGTCACAGTATAAAATAGTGAACATGACTTCTAACAACCAAGATGTCTAATTAAGTGTCAGCTTTTTTGAAAATCCAGCACTCGAATCCCAGAACAAGGAAACAAAACAAATTAAACATACATATATTACAAAGGAAAAGATGTGAATGTATCACTGACCCTTTGTAAAGCTTGTGTTCAGAAATATAAGAAACACAGACGCAAACAAAAGTAATAAATCAAGCACAATTATATTGGAAGAATCTGCATCTCCACACCGACCTGAAGCCAGTTCCACCTTCTCTCTTTTAAGTCAGTTTGTGAACACAGAAGTCTGGTTCTGGATTGGTGGAGATGGCCTAGCTGACTTTGAATCCTCACTTGTCCTGGCCTTTTTCTCTGTCGCGTCGGGCCCTGCATTCGGCACACTCGCTGCTTTCGTCTGCTCCGTGCTCTTCATCATCCTCGTCGTGGATGATCTCCACCTCCAGCCGGCCGATGTAGAGCGATACTGCGCACAGCCAGAAGAGGGCAGCGCTGGACACCACAGCCGTGTGGAGCAGCACTGCTGGCAGAGACAGAAGCATGATCCTTCTCAGAGAAAGAAGACTGGTCACATATGACGCTCCACCGAATGACACACACATCCCGCCCAAGATGAAGAACGCTGAGAGTTGGAAAAAAATAAAAAAATAAAACATTCAAGTGGTCATAGGATATTTGTTTTGTTCTTTAGTATACTACCTCGCCATATGTGTATGTACTCTACCTGACAAAAGTCTTGTCGCCGATCCAAGTTTTAGGAACAACAAAAAATAACTTGACTTCTAGTTGATCATTTGGTATCAGAAGTGGCTTATATGAAAGGAAAAGACCTCTAGATTACGCTTTTTTACCAAAATAAATTATGATCATGTCTTCCCTACTGAAAAAAAACAGCTTAAACCAGCCTGGGCTGGTTGGCTGGTTTTAGCTGGTCGACCAGGCTGGTTTTAGAGGCGTTTTGGCCATTTCCAGGCTGGTTTCCAGCCATTTCCAGCCTTGTCTTTGCTGGTCTGGCTGGGAGATGACCAGCTAAAACCAGCTTGACCAGCCTAGCCAGGCTGGGAGCCCAGCCAAAACCTGCTATGTCCAGCTTAAACCAGGCTGGTCTTGCGCTTCGACATATTTGTTGCAATAATTAAAAGAAATTTCACATGTTAAACGGTAGGGTTGTTGCTTACGCAATTCAAAATAAAAGTCCGGCATTAGCACAATAAGTAAAATAATTTTTTTTTTTTTTTTACCACACACTCTGGGACCCGCTGAAAATGTTGGGTTGCAACCCACCAGTTGAGAAACACTGCATTAAAGTGCTTTCTTTTTCATATTTGACAGCTTGATACTTTTACAAACTATACATTTAGATTTATATAGGAGGAGACAACCAGACATCAAAATTGTGTCACTGAATATTCGTAAAAAGATACATATTGTAATGAAACATGTTTTATGAGTGGCTTATTGAATCATTTATTGAAAAAGAGACTATAGAAATTTATATAATGTGTTGTTCTGCAAGATTATAATGTTAAACGTATCAGCCACAGCCATTTTTCACAGAATTGTGTATTTTCTTTTTTTAATATTTAGATGGTTATTTCTTGATTTTATTTGTATTAAAATTACAGCTTCTAAATTACGTTTCTTAAAACCAAATGATTCTTGCAGTGTTGTTTTTAACAAAATGGAAAGTAAATAACATTTGTCTCCTCTCCTTTTTTGCTGATCTAAAAAAATTATCCGATACGTTACTAAAAACTGCAATGCAATCCGAAACATGAGATTTGTGATCCATTACACCACCTGTTAACTGGTACAGCCAAGTGATTGCTTTTGACTGCAGTTATTGATCAGCGTTAACAGAATAAAATGGAACTGAAAAATATCTTGACCATAACATTAGCCATGAAACTGCAATAAAAAGGTATAGAAAAAACACATACATTTATATACATTATCATATACAAACTAAAATTTAAAGTGACAAACAAAAAATACCTGATACTCCATGATTTGATTAAAAATGATTCAAATTCCCTGACTTGTCCTGGGAATTGTCCTGACCTGAATGTTTATGAAATTTAACATCTTCTGCAAAACATTTACCTTCATAGAAAGCTACTTTAGGTATTAAAAAAAAATCATACAGGGGTAGCACAAATGACCCGTAAACATTTTAAATGCTTTTCATATGGATTAAAGAGATTAAAAAGAGAAGAAAACCAGTAGGACTGAGTGTATAGTATAATATTACAAGCTCTAGTATAAGATATAGTACCATATCCAGCCTCTCTGCCCACATCACTCTGCACAAAGGCAATAACGCCGATGCCTGTCGCCAGCAGACCATTCCGGAACCAGGACAAAAATCCTGCAAAACATTCATAAGAAAAAAAAAAGTTAATTAACATTGCTTTAGTTAACTGGTTCTTCATCTAGCTGTAAATGTCCTTGATTCTTTACTTGATGCAGGCAACAAAACAGTGATGCAATGCTTTTCTATAAAGTCAGAATAAAAAAAAAACTCATTCATATTTAAACAAAGGGATTAGAGTAGGGATGCTCAATTTGGTTAATTTTGCTAACCGACAACAGCCGCTCATTAATCGGTTATTAACGGTTAACTGGTCAGATACTATTAATTTTATATTAAACAAATTGACGTGTCTATTTTGTGTCTGACACATTAAATATTGCATAAAACACTGATTTATTTTTAAATGCTAGCATATTAATAATAGAACAATACGACAGAGCATTTTCATGCACATGCAGTGTTTAGCACAGAAGAACAGAATAAACTAAATAAAATGAATGAAATAAATAGGACTGCCCTAAATAATTTTCAAATTAAATAATTAATTTATATTACAAATCGAAAACACTGACTGATTATTTTATAATAACAGGTATAGGCTGTTTTTTTCCAATCATATTTTTGTCTTCCGTCAAATAAAATAAGCAGACTTCCTCAAATCGCTCGCTCCACGGAAAATATGCATTTATTTAATGCCCCGCTTGTATTATTATAATCACAAAACCTTTTACATATTTAATACAAATTATTATTTTAAAGATTATGTCTTGCTATGGTTTCTTTTCCCTTCATCGCGGCTCAAGTGCGAGCGCTGCGTGATGAAAAGACAACAACAACACGCGCATATGTTGACTTTTTGTAAACAGTTTTGTTGTTTAAATATGATATTGCATTAATGTTCATACATGCTTTATATGCTGTAAAATAAAAGGTAAAGCCTATTTGTTGCGTTTATGATGCAGATCCAGGTCAACATCAGCGCTTTTTTTGGCATCAACACGTCTGTTTCAAGCAATATTCTTCTTCCATTTAGCTTCTTTGGCAAATGTGTCTGTAGGTACGGGTTATACGTTATCGTCTCGCAAGTTAAGTATGTCTTGCAGTTGAACAAGTGGCCGACCACAGCTAACGTGCTTTTTTCATTCCAAAAACGCGAGGCGCACCTCACTGCCCTTATGTTGACAAGGAAAAAAGAAGAGAAGCGCGGTCCTCTTATGAAACGACTGAATCAGCTGGGTATCGATTGTGCAAAAGTGTTGCTGTATATGTTGATAAAATTGTAATATTTAATAATATTATTATATTCAAGATTTGTACATTCATACAGCTCTGGATAACTTAAAACAGCGATTAGACCTTCAGAGCGGCAATAATGCGTCCTGAAGTAAAGAGAAACGGCTATAAACTCCAGCAAGATAGTGATTACATACAGAGCCATATACCTTTATCTATAAATAAAGTATAACTATAGAAACTGTGTTCATCTTAACTGAAAGCTTCTGCGTGTTTGCTGGCCTCACGCATCGCACACTCTAAAAATACTGTTCATAAAAACATAATGTTTCTCTAGTTATACTGTATTTAAAGCAATATTATAACATTTTAAATAATTATTGTTAAAATATTTATAATGCAAATTTGTTATTTGGTTTGATTCATGGGATTAAATTTCTTTCCCTCAATAAAGTCTTATGTTTATTTTTGTCAGATTGCTATAAGCTTTCATATTTGCAATTTTGCGATTCTCATCATAGCCGATTAGGTTTGATTCACAGCTCATAACGCTTTAAAACAGAAAAATTCCAATGGACAAAAAAAAAGGAAAATTAAGTCAATGCTACTAAAAAATAAAGTGTCTGGGTATACTGTTGTACTATACTTACACAAAATAAAATAACTATCTATTACTATAGATAGAATTATAAAAGCATTCAAAGTAATATAACTTTCCATGACTTGTGTTATTTATCTGTAGACATTTGAAATCTATGCATTGGTCTATTGGTGTATGGACTATCATATGACATTATGAATTGTTTATTTTTTTGTTTATTTATTTATTTATTGCTATTTTGATTGCTATTTTGGCGCTTGATATAACAAACAGAAAAATAAATAGCCAATAAGGGGGAAAACATCGGCTTAGTCTTGCTATTATTAATTTCATAATAATTATTTAGACAGAAGATCTCACCTGTTTCATGTGACTTTCGCAGCATCTAAAATAGTTACAAACAGATATTTTAATAATTAGAATTATTGAATATAATTATTTTTATACAACAGTAATGTCACGAATTTCACACATGACAACATATTAATAACACCTCCATGAATACAGTCATATTATTGCTATTTAGTGTATCTTAGTAGCCTACCACACATGTTTTTCGTAATTAATGCAAACTATTATTGAAACCATTTTAGTTCTAAACAAATCAGTGCAAAAGAGTGGGTGAGTGAGTGTTTTAATGTTTACCAGAGCATCAGCTTTATCTAGTTCTGTGATGTACTGCTGCTCCACTGCTCGTGCTCTACTGTTTAGCGGGTTTTTCTCCGCCGCCCGGCGAACGCTCCCCCGGTGAAGCGCGCGCACCGGAGGCCGCACATACCGCAACACCGGCTGCCGCACGAGCTGAGCGAACGGACAAACGAACCGAGACAACCGGCTACCCATTAACCATCTGATAGAAGCCATTGCTTATGCTGTAAACCCAAAACACGACCTTTTCCCGACCTCTGAACTTCGACACTGCCAGTGAGTGCACGTAAAGACGCTTCCGCGTCCACGCGGGACTCGGCGTGTATTTCAGTGGCGCCATCTATCACTACTTCCACATATGTGAAGCTATCCATCTACGAGTTTAATGTCATTGACTCGTTTAATTTCTTTTCTTCTACATCTTAGTTCTTATTATTTTATTATGTTCCTTTTAAAATCAACGATTTTAATAGTTAAAAAGGTTTAAAGGAAATCTTTGGATGATTCAGTCGACTTTGTGTCCAAAAGATGGCGCCAAAACATAACAAAGGTCCCCACCACACCAAACCTCAATTCTGACATGGTAAGTCATCAGGATAAGATAGAAAACCATAAATATGACAAAAAATGTGCTTGCGCTTTTGCACACAAACTTTTATGTTATTAACGTTATCTCATTCTGTCACACAATCTATCATATTTTTTGGTAAATCACATAGGACAAAAGCAATGATTTGGTCAAAAATGATATATATGGAATATCATAACAATAATAAAAATGTTTAAAAATAATTTATGTTAGAATCATAATTGAAGTTTATGTTGCATTATTTTATTTTAAAGACCCTGAAAAAAGCATATTCTTTGACATAAATGTGAAATTACTCAACCTACCCACAGGAGCCTGATAAAAATGCTAATTTTAGCAGAAAATTTCAGATGGCCTTTAATGGTTTTTGCATCTGAACTCTTCAATTGTAAGGAAAAGTCATAAATTTCACCTGTCTGCTAGATCAGTGGTTCTCAAACTGTGGTATGTGTACCACTAGTGGTACGCGCACTTCCTTTCTAGTGGTACGCAGAGCAATCCAATATGCCTTATGTACTTGCAACATATTTTTCAGAATTTATCAAAAATGGTTCATATATGAATATGATGACATATAGCCTATATTTATGAGGTCCAAGCAACATTTCCGTTTTGATGAATAGGATACTGGTTAACACTTAACACTTAAGTACAGCATTTTTTTTTTTTTTTTTTTTTACTTTTTAGGAACAGTAGCCTACCATTTTTTAATGAACTTATAAAAGCACATTTTAAATTAATAAATAACATTTTATTTTCTTTGTTGGTATGTTTGTTTGCCTTTTTACAAATAAGCACAGTACAGTGTTAATGTTCAAACTATTTCAAATGTTTAAAGTGGCTGATAATAAAACTAATTCTTAATAATAGTAGTTAATCTGCCACGTTTTTAAACTGCAGAGCGATTGCTGCTTTACTGGGCCTGCTACGCTACATATTTTAATACTGGTGGTACTTGGACAATTTTTTCTGAGGTGGTACTTGGTAAAAAAAAGTTTGAGAACCACTGTACTAGATAATAACCATTAAGGTAACACTTTATTTTAACGGTAATACTTTATTTTAATGGTCAATTTGAGTATTAATAGACTGTTTGCTTAATATGTTATTACTGCTCCTTCAATAGACATTTAACTGTCTATTAGAAACTTTGCAAATACCTGTCAACTTACACTAATTCTAAACCCAACCTAAAATTCTACTAATAATCAAATGAGAATTAGTTGCAATGTAACTTACATTCAACAAACGAACCATCAAAATAAAGTGTGATCACAATTACACAGATTGGTATCTAATATAACTGCATATAAATTTAAATAATAAAAAATAAATAAATAAATTAAAGTCAGTTAGGAAATTGCCAAAGAAATAATTGAAAAAGAAGATCACTGGTTCGAGTCCCGGCTGGGTCAGTTGGCATTTCTGTGTGGGATTTAAATATTCTCCCCAAGTTCGTGTGGGTTTCCTCCAGGTGCTCCGGTTTCCCCCACAGTCCAAAGACATGTACCATAGGTGAATTGAAGTAACTAAATTGTCCGCAGTGTATGTGTATGCATGTGAGAGTGTATGAAAGGTTCCCAGTACTGGGTTGCAGCTGTAAGGGCATTCACTGTGAAAAAATATGCTGGATAAGTTGGCGGTTCATTCCGCTGTGGTGACCCCTGATAAATACTGAAGGGAAGGGACTAAGCTGAAGGAAGATGAATGAATGATTGAAGTCAATCAGGTCAGAATAATGAGGAAAAGTCATACATTACAATAAAATGCTTATTTCTGTCACAATTATTATTATTAATATTATTTTAATAAAATGTCATAATTAAATTTTTCCCACTAAATAAAATATTACATTAAAAACCTTATTACTTTCTAATTGTGATATCAAAAAGATAAGTAGAAGTCATAAATGTAAATGTAACTTTCATCAGAATATTTAAGTATTACAAGTCTCTTTGATCAAGACCAGCAATATAGTTTTTAGTATTGCTAGTTTTTTTTTAAATAATTTATTATGAAAACCATGCAGTGTATTTCATAATAGCATTTATATCTCATATCTAATAAATGCTTTATGCCAGTGTTTCTCAAACTGTGGTACACATTCCAGTATGCATTATGGTATGCAGGCTTCCTTGTAGTAGTTCACGAAGAAATCACTGAATAATTAAAGAGAATTACCATACTTTTGACCATTTGACGTAAACAATAACATGTTATATTTAAGTAAAGCAGTTTTCTTTTTACTTAACTTTTAAAATCACATTTTAATTTAAATGTTACTTTTTTTTCCGTTTGTTGTATTTACCTGTAAGCACAGGACTGTGTTGATGTTAATGTACTAGCTACTTGATGTTTTAAGTAGATGACAATAGAAGAATATTCAAATTAAGAATTAATCTGTCTTGTTTTTGCCTACTACGCTACTGTATTTCAATACTCAAATACTGGTCATTATGGTGGTACATGGAGAGACATAGAGCTAGTACGCAGTGGTGCAGTAGGTAAGACATGTACTATAGGTGAATTGGGTAGGCTAATTGTCCGTAGTGTATGAGGGTGAATGAGAGTTTGTGGATGTTTCCCAGAGATGTGTTGCGGCTGTAGGGGAATCCGCTGTGTAAAAACGTGCTGGATAAGTTGGCAGTTCATTCCGCTGTGCCGACCCCGGATTAATAAAGGGACTAAGCCGAAAAGAAAATGAATAAATGAATGGAGAGACATTTTATCCTAAGGTGGTACTTGGTGAAAAAAGTTTGATAACCGCTGCATTATGCAATAATTAAAATTTACAAAAGCGCAATTTTATTTTGTAAGTGGCAAACACCAGTAAAGACCTTGTCCTGTATTATTGTTTCATGTAAACTATAACACACACACACACACACACACACACGTGCACACGCGCACACACGCGCACACACACACACACATTCACAATTTAATTAAATATAAATTACTTTAATAAAACAGCTTATAATAAATCTACCTAATCTTTTTTAGTTAAATAATTTTTTTTGTTATCTTTTGACAAAATAATCTCTAATTTTTTTCAATGTCTCATTAATGCAAAGCCTAAAACCCTGCACTGAAAAATCCAGATTGAAGCTGTGTTATAACTAGTTATAAAAGACGGTTATCAGCTAGTTGACCAATCACTAAGCTCCATATATATATATATATATATATATATATATATATATATATACATATATATATATATATATATATATATATATATATATATATATATATATATATATATATATATATATAAAGCAAATTTATAATTACAGCAGAACACACTACACATTCCGAGTCCATTAATACAGTAACATGAGTAAGTGCAGCATGAGTCCAGCAGTACTTTTGTGTGTGTGTGTGTGTGTGTGTGTGTGTTGAAGAGGCCCCTTCCGCTCTCTTTTGTCTGAATGTGATCCTCAGGGATTGTGGTTCTCCACGCCTCAACAACCTGATGGTCATATAGCGTGAGGAGCACAGAGAGGAAGGAAAGACGGGACGCTGTGTGTGTGCGTGTGTGTGTTGTGTGAAGAATGCCTTTAGGAAAGGGCTGCCTTTGATAGAAACCACTAGGAACCATGGAAAGCTCAGGTTGTCACGCTATCAAGCGAGCAGTATTTTATGATAACAGCAGTTTAATGTGTTTATTAAGTGTGCTTGGACCATGTTTTCAATCCACTATATATGATCTGCACTACAAAGCAAAGGAGACTGAAATAAAGCTCAGATTCAAGTCAGATTCATGTCAGGGTTGTTAATTGTTATAATTAAGATGTAATTAAATGTTAATTTTCCTTCAGCTTAGTACCTTTATTCATCAGGGGTCGCCACAGCGAAATTAACCGCCAACTTATCCATTATATAGTTCCAGTTGCAACACACACACACACACACACACACACACACACACACACACACACACACACACACACACACACACACACACACACTCAATTTAGTTTATTCAGTCCACCTAAAGCACATGCCTTTAGACAGTGGGAGAAACTGGACCAAACCCATGCAAACAAGGGCCGAACATACAAACTCTACACAGAAATGCCAACTAACCTAGCCGGAACTCGAACCAGCAACCTTCTTGCTGTGAGGTGACAGTGCTAACCACTGAGCCACCATGTCGTCCCTTTTAATAAACATTCATTCATTCATTTTGGTTTCTTTTGATTTTTGTTTTTCATTACAAACACCTCGCATAAGCATATGTTCATGTTTTTTTTATCAGTATATTTAAAACTTTCAAGGATTTAAGATTATGATGACTATTAAATGCGTCATATCAGTCTTGTGAAAAGGGTCCATTAAGCTTTCTTTTTTTCTATTTATTTTAGTTCTTCGATTCAAATCTACAATATGTCTCATTTTCATTGCAGGTTTTTTTCATCCATTGTCTTCATCCAATCTTTAATATAAACATACATATATTTTTAACATTAATCATTGTAAATAGTTTTAAATAGGATTTATAACCACACCATTTCAGCATCCCCACCACCAGCCTGAACCATTGGTACAAAGCAACATGGATCCATGCTTTCATGTTGTTGATGCCAAATTCTGACCCTAACATCCAAATGTCGCAGCAGAAATCAAGACTCATCAGACCAGGCAACATTTTTCTAATCTTCTATTGTCCAATTTAGCTGAGCCTGTGTGAATTGTAGCCTCAGTTTCCTGTTCTTAGCTGACAGGAGTGGCACCCGGTGTGGTCTTCTGCTGCTGTAGCCCATCCATCAACAAGGCATTTGTGCCCACAAAACCGCCACTCACTGGATATTGAGATTTTTCGAACCATTCTCTGTAAACCCTGGAGATGGTTGTGTAGCTTTAAATTCCCAGTAGATCAGACGTTTCTGAAATATTCAGACTAACCCGTCTGGCACCAACAACCATGCAATGTTCAAAGTCACTTAAATCACCTTTCTTCTCGGTTTGAAGTGCAGAAGATCGCCTGAAACCATGTCTACGTGCTTAAATACATTGTCTTGCTGCCATGTGATTGGCTGATTAGAAATTTGCGTTAACGAGCAGTTGGACACCTAATAAAGTTGTGGGTGAGTGTAAATCTGAAAGTGCAAAAAAATGCAAAAGTTTTTCTGAGGGGTAAAGAATAGGAACAATAGTTTGTTCAGAAGACTATGGAAAGTTCCTACAATTAACAGAAACCGAATTAAGATGTGTGTGTTTCCAGTGTTTTAGCCCAAGTGTCAATTTGTCCCCAAAACAACCCACATACTGTGAAAGTCCAAGAAAAAAAATACACACACACAAACACGTCGTCTGTACAAAATCGAACACATTTTATTTAAATACTGCAAAACTGTTAAGCAAACATCTTTTTTTTGTCATTTTGTTCTCAGTTGATTTACTTCTCATACTGTTACGCGGCACAAAAGCATTTTCTTTCCATCGCTTCTCATTCAGACATCACACATCCTATGATAAAGTGCTTTACTGATTCACTTCTCTGACACTGCAGCACAGAACAAAGCATGCTGGGAAATCTCCTGTTCTGTGCCACTTCATTGCATGAAATCTCAGGTTCTCAGATGCTGGCTGTGTTCAGAATAGAACACTACTATTTTTTTTTTTTTTCGGCAGGTTGTATGTGCAGTACTTTGCATAGTACGCCAATGTTTACAGTATACAACCAAAGCATATACCACTGTACCCACAATGCATTGTGCTTGACCTTTTTGTTTTCCAGAAAAATTAGTAAACAGTGAATAACGCTGCGTTCAAGTAGTAGTTTGAGTTTATGAGTTAAGAGTTGTATTGTATTAAAAAATGCTGGGTTCCACACTATACCTTCATTGTTGTCCCAACACAATTGGATTAAGTTAACTTAATCAATATTACACATTTAAGTGAACAGAACATAAAACAATTAAGTTATCCAGCAAAAAATAACAATTGTGTTTTAACTCATCATTTTTAATACGTAGTCTGAACAAAGCCATTTTTTGAGTGGACAATTTTAGTAGCTAGTGTATGACTACTGTAAGTTTACATGTCCACCAATGATGCGACTATTTCCAACAATCACATTAATCCCATTTACATCGGCAGATGTTTTTGTTAACGTTTATGTAGAACCTTCATCAATTTAATTCTTTGCTGACAAGTGTGCTGTCTTATCTGTAGTTTTACATTATGTCCATTTATCAGATCCGTGGATAGTTATTCAACGCTTCAATAAATCAATTTCTTTGAGCTGTGTCTGGACGAATTCACACAACTGCACAGCAAACTGATAGTTTAGAAATATGGTAATGACAACACACTAATGCAATGTGATTTAGGTGCTTACAAGTTACTGTAATTAAAGTTAGCATTCGTACACCACACAAATTGGTATGATTACTGTTTCTACACTGTAAACAAAATACTGGTAGCTTTAAATTTTTAGGATGAATCAAATTAACCTTGAGAGTCTGAACGTATAGTGTGTTAAACTGATTTAATAGTGTGCATAACTTATAAAATTAGGTTAGAACATGATTAACTTTAGTTTAGTTTAATAAGTGTACTAAAAACAAATGTTGGCATGACTAATTGATCAAATATTTTTTACAGTGTATGATGAGTTTAATCATATTCATTTGACTAAAACGTTGAGATAAATTATAACCATAATCTTTCCAAAATCCAAAATAAAATGTAGAAATAAGCATAAAAGGAGAGAAATAAAAAATGGTAACACCTTATTACCAATTCCCACCATTAACTACTAACCGGTGCTGCTTAGCGCTCTATTTTGACGGTCCATGCGCAGAGCGCAAAACGCAGGGCGCAAACGCTTTCAGGGCGTGTCAGAACGCATTTTTGCTCATTTAAGGACGAGAAAATCCGCTTTGGGCTGTGGTGCATGGTCTAAAAGGGTTGAGTTTATTTTCTTAATGAGTTATAGGTGTGTTTTGAGAATAAACCAATCAGAGTCTCATCTCCCATTACCTTTAAGAGCCAGCTGCATCGCGCCATTAGCGCATTTCGCTATTAACATGACGTAAAGTAAGTTCACTTTCGCTTTTGCTCTCGTGGATAGGGAAACCTTACCGCACAGACATCAATTAGCCTATATAAATAATTAATTTCGTTAGTTAAGCGCAAATATTTGTTTTAAAACTATTTCTAAATTCAGTTCTAATTTCCAGCAAACGAATAAATGAACAATAACAACAAAGTGTGGTCAAAATACTGAGTTATTTCCAAATACACCTGCCATGCACCATATGGTCTAAAACCTGACAGGTGTGCAAATCTAAGCTTGTTTTTAATAAAACAAATATAAATATGGATATAATAAATAATTCTGCTAATAATAATAACATTATACAAAAGCAAATTGAATGAACTGAAAAAGCTTCCAGAGATGAAGAAAGTAAGGCAGTGGTTTTTAAATTCCTGTAGGCCAGAAATTAATATGTTTTGTAATATTTGAATCATTTATATTTATATCCTATATATATATATATCCTTATTATATATATCCTTAAGATATTATATATTTTTCATATGTAAAGATATTTGCGTATTGCTCTACATCTTGTGTGTAGTGTGTAAGCCAGGCGCACTTTGCGCCAGACAATAGACTGACTTTGTTCTGGTCTAAAGAACTATTTACAGTTTCTCAAAATAGCAACGCGCCAAAGCATGCCTGCTTTTTTAGACCAGAACGCCTATGAGCGCAAATGCATTTGCTATTTAAACAGTGTGTTGCAACACCTCAAAATGACCCTTGCGCCGAGCTGAAAGTAGCAAAAGACTATTGCGCCGCGCCTTCACCACATTGCGCCGGGTGTATGATAGGGCCCTTATTGTTAATTTAGCGGCTATTTATTAGAACTTAAATATGATTTTATTCATTCTCTCTAACCATACCCAATAAAATTAGTACTTTATTGAGCTAAAACTGTTAGTTAATAATGAGAATTGTCCCTTAAAATAAAGTGACAAAATAAAAAAATCTGTATAAAAGCATAAAATGCGTTTAAAATTGGGATGCGTTCACACCTGACAAAATGAACTCTGATGGCTTTACTTTTCACAGTTTGGTTGGTTTGGTCTTGATTTAAATAGAAAATACTTTGCATTCATTCACACTTTCACTTTACAGTTTGAACCAAAGCAAAACAAACAAACCAACCAAAAAAAAAAAAAAAAAAATATTACAATGTATATTTTGCAACAGAGCATACCAAATATGCAGTTTTGGAGTAAATGTGCTTATTTGGTGCACAGCAAGGTTGGCAGCATTCACACTTAAATCAGACGAATCGCATTTGTATAAACAAAGCAACTCAACCAGAGTTTGTTTCAAAGAGTTTTTCTGATTCAAATCAAACCTGCCAAGCGTGAACAAATCCTTTGTATGGTTATGGAAGATCCATAACATTACAAAATAGTGTAATTATTTATAACACAAACTAAAAAACTAAATGACGTATTTCATTAATTTAAAAGAAATTACCATAAATGGACAACAACAATTGGGTCAGAAACTTGTCATTAAAATATTGTTGTGTTAAATATTAAATGCTGATGTTAAATGCAATCATGAACTGAACACACCATAGTATTAGCCACATTTAATACATTTACAAATATTAAAATATATATTTATTTCATTTTAATATACATTTATCTTTAAACCATAGATATATATATACACTAGATATCGCATAGGTACCTTGAGCATGCATCAATAGCGCCGCCATATTTGTACAGTGCTCCCAGGACAAGTGTCATTCAACTGCACTAGTCAAGACAGTGATATTATGAAAAGATGCTGGACTTTAACGCTGTCTATGGTTGTAGTAATGAGCAAACAAAGAAAACAAAGCACAAAGGCAGAACATTTCATCGGTAAGGTTTAGTTTTTTTTACGTTTTTGTATGTCATGAACTATTGTGCTCAACAGGTAACGATGATAATACAGTCATGTACTGAATTCACCATAAAGTAGCACCAACTCACACAAAACAATCGGCTTATGCTAGTTTTGTTGAATAAAATCAGCACAAAATGCAAAAGAAATGTCAACGAGATGCTGCGGTGCCAGAAACTTGTATGATTGTTGGCTAAGACAACGTGCCGTTCATGAAGGAGACTCATTCATAAACGAATCGCTCCCTCCGTCAGAATGAGAAGTGAAAGCAGGAGAGGAGGTGTGTTTCAGGACACGGATTAGATCAAATTTAACAGGGAGGGTGGATAGTACATTTCCATACACACAAACACAAGCTTTTTGTCAGGAATGGCCGTGCAATCACTTATTCATCAATGTAGAAAAGTGATGAAAAAAATTATACGTTTCATAATTATGAAAAAAATGTGCATACTGACCTCCGGGAAAACTCCTGATCATGGATATATGTGTATATATGTAATTCTCTGGCTCTGGATGGCCACAGTCCTCCACTGCAGCTTGGTACCGCATTCATCTCAAAGGAGCGCTACCCTGTACTAAAATGGCGGCTCTATTGACACATTCCTTCTAATAGACAACAACAGGGAAGGCGACATCTAATGTATATATCTATGTCTTTAGACTTTTAAAAACGGTGACTATCTTGTTGACAGGATTTGACAGCAATTTAGCATTTTACAAAGAAAAAAATACTGTATTTGCATACTTTTTTTAAAAGTAGCAATATTCCATTCTGAACATAGCCACTAGTAAGCATCTGATGAACTTGCAATGCCCTCTGAGAGATGTAGGCACAAGGGTAGTGCATGTACAGACACCTGATAGAGAGTGAGGCTGTTTGTGTTTTCCAGGTGGCCTATAAGCATTATTACCAAGATTTGAGGAGCCCCATACTGATCTCGCCTGCTCTACAGCGCCTTTCTGAGGCAGAAGGAGATTGTCAGCTCTCATGTAAGTGCATCTCCATTGAAAGACCCTCAAAAGCATGTTGTAGCCTAATGTGCAGATACATGAAAAAAAAGTCACCCTGTTTGGACATTTTGTAACAGAACATACATTTCAAAGGCTGCAGTTGTATAATCTAAAAACTTTCTTGAGCCTCTTTATTTCAGCAACTTTCACCGCTGTGCATAGAGTATAATTTATTCTGTGCTGATATGATAATGTGCGCATTAAAATCAATGCACTGTCGCTATTTTCTGGGCAGACATGTTTTCTTTCCATGAAAATGGAGATGCGGTAGCATGTGGTCAGCACTAATAATGTAACGGTATTTTCTATGGAAAACAAGTAAGCTGAATTTGAATTGAAATTTAATTTAAAAGGCAGCATGCCATTAATTGATGACTAAATAGTGTTAAAGAGCAATAAAATCAGTCATACGCCCGGAGATGGAGCAGTCCAAAGCATTTTTAGCATTTGGATTACACTGAAACTGATAAAGTTAATGCGATGCATTTTCATCAGGCACACAAAAATAAAATTGCAGATTTCTACATAATGTACTTAATCTTATGTAAATAATATTATTTTTTTAAATGCATTTAATCTAGAATGATTGGAATAGGTCAAATCTGTTCATTTAAAACCAACCCAGCAGATAGACAACGTCATAAGACATTAATACTAGGTTAGATTTAGGTCGCTAGCATCTGAGGACAATGTTATTTTGGCGTCCAATAACGACATGAAATAACGTTGATATTTGGTTGATTTTAGGTTGCGTTTAAAAGTGACCATAACATCGAGACAACATCTTAAACCTACGTCATATGAACGTCAAATACTGACATTTATTCGTCAGGTATGGCAACCTAAATCCAACGTCTGTTAGACATCAAACTGGTAACGTCCACACAACGACAAGCTTTAACATCATTAGATGTTGATATTTGGTTGTTCTTAGGTTGCCTTAGAAAGTAACCAAAAAGAAACATCTGTTTGGACATTGACGTTGACCTGACGTAAGTTGTGGCGACAACAAGCTTTTTATTTTCAAACAAAATGCAACGTCCCTTGACGTTGGGGTACAACGTCAATCTGAAGTTTACGTCCTGTGCCTGCTGGAAATTACTTAGTTAATAACTGATGCTTAGCAACTATCAATATACAACTGGATATAATAATAGCATTAAATGACAAGCATATGTATTCTAACAGAATCAGTCTACTGTTACAAGTCTTGTTTCAGTTATAAATGTTATTTTGACATCCAATAATGACATGAAATGACATTGATATTTGGTTGATTTTAGATCGTGTTTAAAAGTGACCATAACGTCAAGACAACATCTTAAACCTACGTCATATGAACGTCAAATACTGACATTTATTCGTCAGGTATGGCAACCTAAATCCAACGTCTGTTAGACATCAAACTGGTAACGTCCACACACCGACAAGCTTTAACATCATTAGATGTTGATATTTGGTTGTTCTTAGGTTGCCTTAGAAAGTAACCAAAAAGAAACATCTGTCTGGAAAGTGACGTTGACCTGACGTTGGGTTGTGGCGACAACAAGATTTTCATTTCCAAACAAAAGGCAACGTCCCACGACATTGGGGTACAATGTTAATCTGATGTTTACATCCTGTGCCTGCTGGGAATTACTTAGGTAATAACTGATGCTTAGCAACTATCAATATACAACTGGATATAATAATAGCATTAAATGACAAACATATGTATTCTAACAGAATCAGTCTACTGTTACAAGTCTTGTTTCAGTTATGTATGTTTGACAAATATGCATCCCATTAACCTTATTAATTCGAACTGTAATCGAAGTAGATGGGCATTTCATATGCAATCTTTTTTTTTTTTTTTCTTGTTATAGCAAGCGATGTACAATATATCTGTGGCATTTTATGTATCAGGTGATATTTAATTTTATTTTTGATACTTCATAGTTGAATTTTTTTGTGCAGCTCATTTTTTCCGTATCTTAACATTTAGTTTTTAGCATTTTTATCCAATGCAACACTTTAACTTTGTTTAAAAAACTTGGATAATTATATAACAGTGTTAGACATTATTATTTTTAAACTGTACATTATAATATCGTGATGCCTAAATTTATTGTAGCATTTAAAAAAAAATTTTTTTACTGTTTTATTTCTATTTACATTTATTATTACAAAATAGTTTAGAATTTTTAACGTTGTCGATTTATAGCATAATCAACTATAACATAAAACAATAATAATAATGATAAAAATTATCGTCCAGATGTTTTACATCAGTGCATCCTCATATAAAGGTTGCCGTCTACAAAATGTATCTGTTTCTGAAAATACAAAGTAAATTGATGCAACGGCAAGGACAACTACCAAAAAAAAGTGCAGACGGACTGTAAGAATACGTTCTTCATGTCTGCTGCAAATGGGGGGAGCTGCGACATACAAATTTGTGTTCAGCTACTAGATTTGCATAATTTCTTTAGCAAAGCATTGCGTGAAAATGGACACCATCAGAGGGCGCTGTTCATTTGTAGCAAATTAACCGTAACTTCTTCTCAGGCTCAATTGTAGGGGATCCTGTGCTTTGGAGCGTCTGTGTATAATATGATCGTTAGTTATTTTCTGTCAGGTTTGATGATCTAGCGGAGCGTACTTTGCATGGTTACACATTCACAGGGATGAACACAATATGACAAAAGGCCACTGGAAAATCTCATCTGTCCACTTACACACGCACACAGGTGTAGTGTCAGGAAAAGTGAGGGCTTGATTATTATTAGATACAGAAATGACTCAAATTACTAAGGTAACTGTTGATTTTCAATGACGAGGAAAATATCTGCCAGCCTTTCACTGTCAAGTAAAGAGACGTGTCAATTTCTGGTGTTCATCGAGTCACCTTAGTGTATCTAACTTGTGGTTTGATTTCTGAGGCCACAGAAACAGCAGCGATTGGTTAGGCTTCTTGCATCTCCACCTAAAATCCTCCAATAGCAGGGCAGCAGCAGCCACAGACTGCACACACACACACACTCACACACACACACACACACACTTTACTGACAGACATTCAGGTCTTGCTGCTCTGCGTGACGGGCACTTGAACTCCTTTCTGTCCTGAAGCTGTGAAGAGCGACAGAGAGAAGATTATTTAGCACATGATAAAAAATTTCAAGGCAAACAGTCACATCTGCTTGAGGAAGCTATACAAGAATGTTTGTAGACGTTTGCATGTCGCTAATATGATTTAACACAGTGTTTCTCAACCACGTTCCTGGAGGACCACCAGCACTGCATGTTTTGGATTCTCCTTCATCTGTCACACCCATTAGCAGAGACCGTCTTTCAGTCTCTGCTAATGAGCTGATGATCTGAATCAGGTGTATTTGTTTAAAGAGTAGGGACATTGAGCAGAGTTGGTGATCACGGATCATAAAGATGTCTGTACAGTCTTGTATGTTTCCAGACAAAATCTCTTCAGAGTGTTATATATTTATCTCAAATCAAACGTGGCACCGCGCACTGTTCGCTCGAGTCTCAAAAAAAATAATGCGTTCCGCCGGCCAAAATCATGTCACGTGCACCCAAGCAAACCTCCGCAAACTCTGCGTTGATGTAACATTCGCCGCGCACATTGAAGCGTACTACTGGACGCGTCGATTATAAACCAGGCCGACTAATCACAGAGCTTGCGCTATGCGTCGTTGCGACATGTAGTTAAATTTTTTTTGAGAGGTGCGCTTTTTTCATGCAGCTAGGCAATGACTGAATCAGCTGGGTATTGTGTGCGAGTGTTGCTGTTGATATTGGTATTTTATAATATTGTGAAATTCAAGACTTGTGACTCATACAGCTCTGGATAACTCAAAACAGCGACCACTAGCCTCTCCTCCATCTTTAAAAGTCTCTGTAGTTGCCTTGACAACACAAACACTGCTGTCACCTCAATGGAAACCCCGGCTCAGCTTTCATGTAATTGGAGAATGAAACATGCGACTGACATAAAACTCTTTTTTACTGAGAGTTGAGTTTGAGTTGCCGTTGTTTTTTGAGAGGTGCGCGTCAGCAACAACCATGACGAGGGCTATGTGACCGCGAGAAGGCTGCGTTGAACCAAACGCGCGCACTTGATGCAGAAGTGGCCAATCCCCCCGAATCTGTTTTTCCGTTCTTAAAACGCGAGGCGCTCCACACTGCCTTTTTTGTTTACAAGAAAAAAGAAGCACAGTGCACTTTTTTTCATGTAGTTAGACAATGACTGAATGAGCTGGGTATTGTGTGCGAGTGTTGCTGTTGATATTGGTATTTAAAAATGTTGTGAAATTCAAGATTTGTGATTCATACAGCTCTGGATAACTCAAGAGAGCGACCACTAATCTTTCCTCCATCTTCAAAAGTCTTAGTAATTGTCTTGACAACACAAACACTGCTGTCACCTCAACGAAACCCCGCCTCTGCTTAAATGTAATTGGAGAATGAAACAGACGCGACTGACGTAACGCGCTGTTTTTACTCAGAGTTGACTTTTTTAACTGTGAGCGCCGACGGCAAAAACACGAGGCACAGCAAGCAGTACACAAAACGCTCGCAGCCGTTCGGTAACCATTCAAAAAAAGGTTCCTCAATGCAAAAAGCGTGTTCGGTGTGATTTGCCTTAAATGTCCATGGTTACTGCTAGGCTTAAGGCCGATTTATACTTCTGCGTCAAATGCCGGCGTATGCTACGGCGCTGACGCATAGCCCTTTGCCGTGGCCGTCGCTGACGTGCACCTCTCAAAAAATGTAACTACACGTCGCAACGACACGTAGCGCAAGCTCTGTGATTGGTCGGCTTGGTAGCGCAGACGAGTCTGGGTGTAAAGCCTGATAGAGCGATTGTTTACAAGTGTGGAGTCCCGTGAAGGAGCTCCGGATGGTAAGTTTTGTTTTGTGTTAACCTTATTATTTTTCACTTTAATTTTTTCCCTCTCAAAAATCCAAAATAAATTTGCATTAAAATATATCTTTAAGATTGTTTTTGTAAGTTTTAAGTTTAATACACATTTAAAAAATTTTTTTAATCATAAGTGTTGAAAAAAAGCGCCGGTTCATGTTCTCTCCTTTGTCTAAATAAACCAATAAATAAAAGTGTTAATTTAATTATCTAAAACATTACACCAAATATTTGGGCTATATTGTACCATAAAAATAGTCTAAACTCTGAAAAAGCTGAAAACCTGCAATGAAGATAGCCCACATGGCTTGAGTACAAAACTCACCCAGTCTGTACTTCTCCTTCGCTTCAGCTCGCTCTTTTGCATCAAAGTACCAAACAGTGATGGCATAACTGTGGAAAGACAAAGACAGATTCAAACAGTCTGACTAGCATTCATTGATTCAATGCAGTGAAAAGCTCAGGCGTTGTGATGTAAAGTCACATGCTTTTGCTCTGCACAGAAAGGGTTAAGTCAACACCAACAGCACTAGAGCGTCTGGTTTGTTTATTCCTGCCTCTCTCCTGCCGGCACGAGCACACAAACTGAAGCGACGAGCATTCAGGAAACACGTACTTCCTGAGCCCCACCTCGGCCCCCAGCCGCGATCAGACCCGATACACACCTACCATCATCCTAAAACATCAAAGGCAACAAGCTCCTCTGATTGTTCCACTACACCAAAAATACAGTTTTAATTCGCTGCATCAAACTCATTTCGTCTTCCTGAGGAAAGCCAACCGCAGGTGTGGCGTTTGTGCAGAAGATCAGATCAAACCACTGTGTTTGTAGTGCTGGAGAACAATGGTGGATGGGGTCAGATGAGTGTGTGTGTGTGTGTGTGTGTGTGTGTGTGTGTGTGTGTCTAGGGCTGCAGTTTTACACCTACATGGCATTCTACAACCTGAATTAACCTTGACTTGTAATAAAAAGGTCAGTTTTACTGATATTTTAAGAGACTTACTGACATGCAAACACTGTCATGAGTGTTTTCTGGGGTCATTTTCTGTTTATGATTTCTTTAAACATGTTTTTGCCAACACAGGCGCATTAAAAATACCTGCTTCGCCCTACATTTTTGTAAAAAAGCAAAAATGTTCTTGAATATATGCTTAAATTGCAGTTTTTATATTAAATTAAAGCAACCACTATGACATTTGATGCTTGATTCTCCAAAAGAAATCAAAAGTAATTTCAATTTAAATATGTAATCGTATAGGAGATATTTATAAAATGAACAAGTGTTGTTATTAACTAAAAGTGAAAACCAATTATTATGTACTAAAACATAAAGCCAAGAAGAAACTAACTAGAACTAAATAGAAAAAAAAAAAAATGTAGTCAGCACCAATAGCCTAGTGGTTAAGTGAGCTAATATATATTGTAGCACCATGGTGATCATGGTGACCTGAGTTGGATTCCTGGCACAAGGTCCTATCCTTTCCATCTCTTTGCTCCCAGTGCTTTCCTATCCTGTCACAATAAAATGGTAAAAAAAACACCCTAAAAAATAATAATAATAAAGAACTAAACAAATTTCTTTAAATGTCAAATTAAAATTAAAACTGATAAAATGTATATATATTTATAATAATACTTAATATATATTAATACTTAAATATTTTTGAATGCATTCTTTTTAATGACTTCAGCTCAATGTGAGTGACTGTAGTATTAAAAATGATTAACTCACCGGGTGGCAAAAGCTGGCATCACTTCATGTGGGTTTCGCCGATCAGACCAGAAAATGAGCAGACGGTCAAAAACAGGCTCGATGTTGGCGACAACATTACGACCCTCAGGGTAGATCTGCAATAAACCTCCATGAACCTAATCAAACAGTTAAAGACAAAATTATTATTATTATCATTTTTATTAGCCCTATTATTATTATTATTATTATTATTATTATTATTATTGTTGTTGTTACTGTAATTAATGTTGCTGTTATTACTATTATTATTATAATTATTATTATTACTATTATTATTATTATTATTATTGTTGTTACTGTAATTAATGTTGCTGTTATTACTATTATTATTATTATTATAATTATTATTATTACTATTATTATTATTGTGGTTGTTGTTGTTATTACAATTATTATTATTATTATTTTATTATTATTATTATTATTATTATTATTATTATTACTAGCCCTATTACTTATTATTATTTTTAAATATTTAAGTGATATTTATCAGAGCAAGGACACTTTTAATATTTTTTGTAATATTTGTTTCTATGGAGACAGTTTTTATTTATTTTATTAATTTATGTTTATTTAATAATTGTTAAGGTAAGCATTATTAGGTCCATTACACTTTTTTTTTTTAATTGATTGGATAAAGTACAAACCACTGTTGTCCAATAAATTGCTCAATTAACCAAACTTGGTTAGTTACCCAATTAACCTTAAGTTAAACCTTTAAATGTCACTTTAAGCTGAATACTATTATCTTGCAAAATAACTAGTAAAATATTATTTACGGTGTGATTTGATATGTATAGTATAGTATTGTAAAAATAGAAGTATAGTAACTAAAAAGTTAAAGCATGAAATAAAAAAGAATAACTTTTAAACTTTTAAAATTAAAGTTTAAAATTTAAATCCAATTGTTTGGTAAAAGAAGTAAGTCTCTTATGTAATATATCAACTAAAAGACAGAAAATGTGACTTTATAAACTGTAGATAAATCATATTAACATGTATTATTCAATAATATTACAGAAATTAATAAAAAACTGAATACATAAGTATATATTTACAGTACACACATTTACATACCTACATAAATAGACTCATTGATGGGCTAAAATATGCAGAAATCAGGGATTTCGTGTGGGCCAACTCATGATGACTGTCCAATTCCCAGTAAGAGTAAACAAAGGATCACCGCATACCTTCACATCCCAGTTCTTGTTCAGATAGTAGATGCAGGTTATGCAGCGCCCGTCACCATTAGGATTGTCCACATGTCGCACGTATCCTGTGCCACTGCCTGGGTAACACGCCACCATGGCCTGGTTGAGTACAAGAGAGAGGGTTTAAGAAACAAGCCATTTAGTAATGATGAAATGAGGACATTTTGTGGCATTGTTCGCTGAGATCCTAATATGTAAATCCGCATTGTGTTCTGATCATAGGTGGACAAAATGAAAAACAGAGGTCAGTGCGTTTTGCAAAGTATCATGCTCTGATTATTTAAATAGGCACTGGGAGGAGGTGAGGGACAGATGTGGTCTTGCATCTGGACTGCACATGGTAATATGCCAAACATAACAGAACCACATACACACATTATTACAGGTACATGTTGTAGCTGTAGCAGATGGACATACACACAGAAAGACAGACCAGAGTCCTGATTTAAACCTGATTGAAACCTCAACCACCAGGCCACGAAACAGTACCAGTCGGTGGATCAATTGATACCAGGCCACACAAGAAATCATTAATTATTTAAGTGTTATTTAGAGTCTGAACGATCTATTATTTTGAAAAATAACAATATCCTCTAACTTGAGCGCCTAAATTAAACCCACAAGCAGCAAAATGAGTGAGAAACAGGCGTCTTTGGAAAGTTTCTATGCTAAGGGGAAAAGACCCAGCAAAAAACCCGCAAATTGCCAAGGAATGGATCCTCATGGTTCAACAAATCATGTGACTTGAGCATGTCTGTGATAGAGGATCGACTGCTGGAGATTGCAAATGATGGCAGCCTTTCATGGCATCCGTTTGCATATCGCGTCTTTTCTAAAGAGCGCAAGTTCGTTATTTCCAATGAAGGTAAGCGGTTTGCATGTGCACGTGGCGTGATGCGCTCGCTCCTTCCAGACGCATCCAGTTAAATGAATGCTGCAAGCCCACCGCAAGTCACGTGACAAAGACTGAATGATCATTTATGGAATAGACACATTTCGATCGACTAATTATCTCAGACAAACACAGAACATCCACTCGCCTAGCAACCTACGAACCCCCCCACACAAACACCACTTAATCCACGGTAAAATTGTCAAGCGTTGACCCGTCCGTGGTGATAAAAATGTTGGGGAAGACTGACCTAGCTGATATGTTATGTGCTTATGTACGAGTATGACGACAAGTCAACTGACCTCTCTAATGGAGTAGGTAGGTAGGTAAATAGGTCATTAATATTCGCAGAAATGTACACAGCGGCCTCTGGTGGAATTATGAGAAATCGCACATATGAGAAAAAACGCCCCAGTAACGTATTTGAGATTATCACAAATGTACATGGAGCCCTCTAGTAGATTTGTGAAAACAAAAATGGCAAGAACACCCAGTCAAGGGTACATATTTCTTGGTTCTCAAAAATGTAGCCCTGGGCACATATATCTATTGAGCCTGGGTTGGTTTATTTTGGAAAACACTGTTCTATTAACATGGTTTAGCCTACAAGACAATTAAATCTCAGTGCTTATGGCCTTGTGTATAGTGCGCCATATAGTGATTTTAATGCGTCAGGTGTCAAAAAGTTTCCCAATTCTTTCCCCCATCTCAATCTCCAACTTCGCTCATGTCTATATATACTCTCCTATCATAATAAAGACAAAAATACACTTTGAAAATAAAGATATATAAGCATAAAGAACTAATATTTGAGTTTTCTGTCCCTTTTCAGATTTACAGTCTGCATAGGTGTCAGAATGATGAAGCTTTTCTGTGGCACTTGCCAAAGGTCAAACACGCACATGCTTTAAAATAGCACTCACTTTACGTTATTTCTGCAGAGCGGTTGCACTGGCTGATCGCCCACACACCAACATTATCACTGCTGTTTATGAGGTTTTATGAACACAGCTCTGTCTCTCACCCACATCTGCCCCAATACTTGAACATCTGAGGCATTGAATGACATGGCAACACACAGGCAAAGCAGAATATACAAGCTTATTTGTTAAAGAATTTGAAAACCTAAAATAACACAATTTTTATGTATAGATCGATTACTTAAATATATATTCAAAGGGCAGCCATTTTACCACTTTTTCAAGATTAAGGACAATTTGTTAGTGTCTCCAGAGTGTGTTGTAAAGTTTCAGCTCTAATCAGAATATTTATTATACCTTTCAGAATACTGACATTTTCTCCTCTGAACACAATGTAGCTGTTTTTGTTGCTTGTGTCTTTAATGCTAGTTCTCCCCATCCAATGTTCCCGTCATAGTGTGCCTTAATCTCCACTTCGGCTGCGTCAGATAACAGCACAGTGACAGACATGAAGGAAGCAGATCTCACGTAACGTTAGTGAGAAATACTACAATAAGAATTTCCTAATGATTATTTGATGTATTTGTTGTGGAGTTAATTCAAGCCTTTCTGCAATGATAAGTCACACACAATGGCATTACAAAGTTCGTGCACATGATTTTTGCGCTGTAAATTTGACAGGATACATGTTAATATCCACTGCTGTATGGGTATGCTATTATAGGGATTTTTTAAAAGGGCCATATCCCCCAGCCCTACATTAAATCCTAAATATATTTAATTTTCTTGTCGGCTTAGTCCCTTTATTAATCTGGGGTCGCCACAGCGGAATGAACCGCCAACTCATCCAGCACATTTTTACGCAGCGGATGCCCTTCCAGCCGCAACCCATCTCTGGGAAACATCCACACACACATTCACATACACTCATACACTACGGACAATTTAGCTTACTCAATTCACCTGTACTGCATGTCTTTGGACTGCGGGGGAAACCGGAGCACCCGGAGGAAACCCACGCAAACGCAGGGAGAACATGCAAATTCCTCACAGAAATGCCAACTGAGCCGAGGATCAAACCAGCGACCTTCTTGCTGTGAGGCGACAGCATGACCTACTGCGCCACTGCATATATTTGTAAGATGTTATTATACATATATACAGCATCTGTATGAATGTACACATTTATTTGCCATGAATACTTTGAATAAATACACTAACAGTAAATGTATTTTATTTCTACCACAGATTTGCAGTTTAAATAAAATGCTGTTATTTTAAACACTTTATCCAAATGTCCAAAAATTGTATTTTAATTGCATTTAATATACATTAGAACAGAAACCAGTTCATTTCAATTGGTATTAATTATTTTGGAACATTTCAGTTTAAATGAAAGACTCTTTTAGATCTCTTTCAGAAACATTACAGAATTTCTGTCTCATTTATAACTTTTTCAGTTATATTTCCTTGGCTTTGTTTAAATTAATGCTCAACTTAGTTTCAGAGGCAATATGCTGTAAAAGGGCAATTCACATGTTCTGGCATGTCGAGCACTGTGCCACTCATATGGGCATTGCCAGTTCCAATTTGGCTCAAACAATTTCCAGATTCAAACACCAATATAAAGCCTGATACAAGTCCAACAAACCAGCATCAGCATCTGGCCTGCCTTCAGTAGAGCTGAGTTTTGGCACAGGTACGAGGCATTCCTGCACATGAATGATGGTAACCGGGTCTGTTTTGGTAGGCGGGAGAGCGTGATCAGGGTGAACTGTTAGCTGTCGTGCTCTCTGATATGCTCAGCCCTTTATCAAGCCTCACAGAGAAACTGTTATCTGAGTTGTTATCACTGAAGCACAGTATAGCGGTAAGCATAAAGTGAGTCACATGGGTTAAACAGCAGCCCAGCGCTCGCTCACAGCCAGCATTACCTCCGCCTATATGCTTGTTTGACGTCAACAGGAATGATTGTGCACTATTTTCTTAAAGGGATAGTGAATGAAAAGTTTGTCTTTGTTTATTCTCCCTCAAGCCATGTTTCAAGGGTGACTTGGTAACCCAACAGCTACTATTGATTTGTATCATATTGATTAAATTTGAACAATTTAATAGTAGTGGATAACTATGCCAAAATTGAAAATGCTCACTAATATTTTCATTACGTTTCATATTAATGTTGCAGTGTTTTTAATGATTGTGCTAATTTCACTATATTGTATAGTTCTTAAGTGCTTGCAATTTTAGCCAGTGGCTCTGACTTTTACTTGTTGATTTTGTTTGTAATTTTTTTTTTGTTTTGTTTTTTTTAAATGTATGTAGGGCAGTCAAATGGTTAAAAAAAATGTACGTAATTAAACCACACTGTTTTTGTCATTTATCATGATTAATCATGAAACGCCTTATTTATTACAGAAATAAAAACACAGGCATTTAAGTGCCATTTGAATTTCAAAACAATCAATGCCAATAACAAACAAAAATATTTTCATGTTGGATTCTAAGTGGACTACAAACACACACACACAGACAACACGCACAGTCAGCGGACCTGGTGAGCGAGGGATCCCTTCAGATTCATCAACGCGCACGATCACGTTCATCAGATTTTTGATTACCTTAAAGGATCACGCGAGTCCCGAAAGGCAGAGGTTTTTCTTTCCGTTCGCCATGCGTTCAAAATTCCATTAAAACAACCTGAATGAAAATATGCTGAATGAGAGTGAACTGCTGAACTGCAGTTAGTCTAAAGATTAAAAATGAAACACTCGAAACTGCATGAAACTCTGGAAAAAACGCATGATAGCCAAACGTTTACAACCCTTCACACACCCTGTACAATAGTTTGACTACATAATCATGTGTATATATATAAGAAAATCAAACAGAGTTTCAAAAACCCTTTTTTAGGAGAAACTATTTTCTTCCCCCATTCATTGACATGTGCAGTTGATGTCAGAACTGCAGAAACCATTGCTACTTTACAAACGTCACTTTAGAGCTAGTATTTGAATGATTCTCTAGTGTAATGTTTAAAGTGATGACAAAACAGATAATTTTGCTCACAATTAAGACAATAATGCAGAACGCCATAAAATGGCATCAGTCTAGAGACATTTCTCTGTTGTAATCAGGATATTACAATAATTAACCCCGAAAAAGCCAAAGCAATGCAAACACTAGCAAGTTACTATAGTAAAAATACAGCACTACAACATACAAAAGTGATAGATCGAGAGTGTCACTTACCAGTGTTATAATGATTTGATCAGTAGTAATTGAAATGT